AGTCACTTCTATTATATGGGTCAGAAAAACAACTCACGCGTCACGAAAAGTATTGCCAACGAGCTGAAGACTTTTATCAACAGCCACCTTCGTTGACCAGAAAGAATCAGTATCAGGGAACACTGGTAACGAAACAGTCAATGATTGATTGCTCAACAAATATTCCGAAGAAAATAGAGATGAATCAAAGACACACTGAGGAGACCGTTGAATGATATCGTACGTCAGGCTTTCGAGTGGAACTCGAATGGCAGACAACGGGTTTGGCGTCCGAGTGTGACATGGAGGAGACCGTCTGAAGAGAAGATGAAGGCTGATGAGTAATTATGAAGCCAGATGAAGAGGACTACAGAGAACAAGACAAAAAACAGAGATTCGCTGTTGAAGTCCTGAGTTCCACTCAGAACCCAAGGGAATAATAAATAATAATTTGTGTGCATCAGTTCCCAGAAAAGAATGCCCACTGAGAAGACACCTTCAGAATAATTTTGTCATATCTAACAAAATAACTAATATGATCAGTAAGATAATAATGACAATATGATGGAGAAGATTTGTAGTTCAGGTGGATGATGTTGATGTTTTTGTGTTCTCTGAGTTGGATGGTTAGTTTGCGAAGCTTTCATTATCCTACTAGGCAACATCTTCAGCGCATACTTCAATTTGAAGTGAGTCTTTAGATTATTAGTATATTTTTAGTTTATCAGTCATCTCTCCTGGTCACAGTGAACGCGATTGATTGTTTTGTGTATTTTCACAACCTCTAGGCTTCTTGTGTTGGAACTAATTGTTTCCTTGACTTGAACTTAGACCCTTTGTGTGTGTGAGATTTCCTTCTTATAGAATGATAAATTTTGTCTATCTCGATGTGTCTATTGATTGACGATTCACTGAAATACCAGACTAGCAGAAATTCCTCTGTCTGATATTTGAACGTTGTCTCAGTCGAATTGATGTGTGTGGTTGTCTGCATGCAGTAATATGAGGAACTGGATGTCATGTCTTTTGACGGTTGGCTTATGTTCATAGATACGAAGTCGAAGGGGATGTCCACTTTGGCCAATGTAGTGTTTTTCGCAGTTGTTACAACTTATTTTGTAGATGATGTTGGTTTTATCTTCTTTTTTTGCTGAGTCTTTTGGTTGACATAAAACTGAGCGAAGTGATTTTGTTGGTTTGTGTGCGACGTCAATTCCTACAGGTTTGAAGAATCTTGCAGTAATTTTTGAGATGTCCTTTATATATGGTAGGGTGATTTTCTTTGTACTTTTCTTGGGGTCCTTTGATTTGGTAGGTTGGTAAACAACCACAGGGGAAATAGAAACTCAAGTTTATAGAAAATCAATTACACGGACCAAATACTCAATTACAATAGCAACAATCCAATAACACACAAAAGTAATTGCATACAAACACTATTCAAGAGGGCCAGGACTCATTGCAGCACTCCCAGCTTAAGGAAAATTGAAGAAAGATACCTCATGGACGTCTTCCAAAAGAATGGATATCCACGGAATTTCATCAAAAGACATATACCCACAAGCCAACCCACCAAATCAAAGGACCCCAAGGAAGGCACAAAGAAAATCACCCTACCATTCATAAAAACACCTAAGAAATTATTGCAAGATACTTCAAACCTTTCGGAGTTGATGTTGAACACAAACCAACAAGATCACTTCACTCAGCTCTATGTCAACCAAAAGACTTAACAACAAAAGAAGATAAAACCAACTTCTAATTGAAGTATGCACTGAAGATGTTGCCGAGTAGGACAATGAAAGCTTCGCAAACAAACCATCCAGCTCAGAGAACACAACTACATCAAAAATAATGACAATAGTTTGTTCATTCTAATGTAAAAAAAACTAATGAATGTTCATGTGGACCTTTAACTTATGATATAAAATTCTATATCTACTTCACTAGAGTTGTGAATGCTTAATTCAAAGTCCATCGTAAATAGTGATTTTTTCAACATCAAGAATGTCACATTTTGTAAGCCATTTTAGGAATGAATAGAATAGATTAAACATGCTTTATTGAGTTGAGTAGAGAGAGCTTGAAGACGCAAAATTAACCTGTAATTGAGACACAGAAAATATTTGGTAATACAAATTAGCGGAGTTTAATTGGTTTACTAGTATATACTTAAAATGCCAAGTATATATCTGCATAGATAGATATGCGAATTCCAACATCGCCTTTTATATTAACCCGCTATCAAAATTCCTAAATTTTCAAGTGTTCGTTTGCAAGGATTTGATCGATTTCAAGATCGACCACAAACTAAGTTCATTTAGAGAAGCACTGAAAACCAGGGAGTACTTGATAACTGTTTCACCCTAGTTTCAAACTCCTCAGCAGTACGCACCCAAGACTCCAGCAGCGATCGAATCCACGACTGGTTAGATGAATAGTGAATCGGTCATTTGAAGTTTATCACTTTACCTTAACTCTAATTCAAACAACTTAAGTAGACATTAGATCAACTGGTTCAAATAGGACATAAAGTTAGCATTGAAGAATCTTTCTCTCTATTATCTATTGGGTATCAAATAAATTACCATAAACCTCCAGGTACTGGATACTTCGAACAGCAGAGGCTATTGTGATTTGTTTTAAACAACCGGTACTTTATGTGTGCAAAAGGAACAGGTTCAACCATTATTTCTACCCTGGCCTTCTGTGGAATCTACAAATTCATAAATACTGTATTGTGGCAGCTTTTTAAGTATGAGCTTTCATCCTGTGTTTATAAATTCCATTACCCCTTTTTAATGTTTAATTGAATTTTGACTTTACCCTTGACTGATTGCGCCGAAATGTTTGGCTTCTGTAGACATGTCGGCTCAATATTTCGGTGCTACTATTCAGCGGTAAATTCAAAATTTAATTAAAAATCAGTAATAACTGACACCTGTTGCAAAAACGGGTGTCTATCGCGGTCTAGTGGTTAGTGGTCTGGTGTCTGAAACGAAGGTTAGTGGGTTCGAGCCTTATTGGGAACACCATCACTCACTGGGGAATACAGATATATCCATCTGGCGAGTCTCAAATAGAATTAAATGCGTGTCCTGGATTGCACTGCTGGTCAGCATCCATCAAATCGCTTTAACCTTTTGTTTCCTTATTCAAACTTAGTCATTGACCTACACAGTGACACACGTGTAACCCTCTACCCCAGTTTTTCCTCTCCTTCCTTGAGATTATCATTCATCCATATGGTGCGTCGGTGGCACAGCTGTTAGGACCCTCGCCGACGATTCACATGGTCCGAGGTTCGATCCCCGGCCAACGCACTCCTTTTACTTCGCTAAGCCAGAAGTGAGACTGGTAAAGCGGAAGGGTTGGGCATGAGGCCAGCAACCCCATCCTGTAAAAATTAACACTGCTACAGGAACTTCAAGCTTCTAGCCTGGAGCCCTATGTTCCACTGGAAACGTGAAGGAAAAAAATATGGAGTTTATAATCAGTATGAGTAGAATTTAATATGAATATTAGTCATGAGCATTGATTGTTGTATATTCGTTGTTATTCATTATCATTTGCTTTGAAAAACTGGTGTTCCATTAGGTGTTATATTTATGCATATTACCACATATACATGTTATATATAACAGTAGAACCTGATGAAGAGGCGGTTATCGAAAAGTAAATTTTTCGTTATGGTAGTCATTCTTTTGAGATCTATTTTCATTCGGGGATCTTTATTTAATTATCAGTCTTTGTAACATGTACCATGATGTTTACAACAAAAATAGAAAAGAATTGAAGGGTCATCACTTAAATTAGATGAAGTTTTCCATTTTATTTCCGATATTTTGCCTAAACCGCTATATTCATTTGCATTGATAGTAGAAGGGGGTTGCATGAAATGCAAATATCTATGCTCAGGAGATAGTTAAGCAGTAAAACAAGGAAAAGTTTTAGCTTAGTAGAATGATTTTGGTATAACTGTATCTTCCAACAATCTTTGTCATGAAAAGTTGTTGATTAGAATCAGAACTGATAGTTTCTACTGACTTCGTACTCGACCTTTTTTGTCATTTGGCTTATTCACTTGATAAATTTGGTCTATAGAAATGTGTCTCTTTATTGCTGACTAGTCTGAGTACCAGCCTTTAAGGCGTTCTTTGACCATTCTAGGTTTTAGTGTTTAAAATTCCCACATTTTTCAAGTGTTCAGATGTTAATTTTATTGATTCACTTAATTTTTATGGCGGGTTACTTAAACCACTAGGCTACACAAATTTCCATTCACCTTTATGTATTAACTTTTCATTTCTCATTGTTGTAATCTTCCCTGAATTTAAACATGTAATCACACACACACACGATTTGAATTAGATTTTACCACACTAATGTAAACTTAGCAAAAAAAAAATAAAGGGAAAATAGCATGTTTCATTGACTCTTGCTTCAAAAAGAATAGCAGTGCTTTGATTGGACACCAGTCAGTCAAGTTTTCCTCCAACCATCTAATATCAACATTTTAATGTACACTGTGATGACAAGCCATCTAGAATGCTGGCTACATTGAAAACTTGACTGATTGATAGAATTCAGTCTGCACCAAAAACACCAATGACCAGACACGTTACACTAGTTATTGACTAGTGTCCAATCAAAGTATCAAATACAGTCCTACAGGAGGTCGATCGCGAGCTCAAATAGCTCAGTGGTAACGTCTCTGACTGCAGCACTTGTTTTAACGCGGGTTTGAATCTCAGAAGGGACATGAGTTCCTTCGAGGTAGCAGATATGCCTTGTTGACTGGTGAGTGGCAACTAGCACGAAACCTAGTTGGAAGGCTTCCTGTGGCCGATGGCCTCCAACCATCTGATAGAATAGACCAATTGTTATTTCACTAAAAGATCCTGTACAAGGAGTAAATGTTTTACTATAAAATGTGTTGCATGTAAACATATTGTCCGGAATGGAGCTGTTATTATTATTATTATTGACTGATTAGGCCTTACTAAAATTATATTTTACAGAATGGCAAAGAATTGAAAAAAGGAGATGGTAATTATGAAATTCAACACATGCTTGGAATCACTTCCCTGGAGATATATTCCTGTTCAGAAAATGACTCTGGACGATATTCTTGTAAAGCGACCAACAGCCGTGGAGAGGATGAAACTGATTGTAAAGTTATTGTTGAAGGTAAGTTATGCAATAAGAAGTTGGTTTGTAGTTTTAGTCCATAGCCATATATATATATCAAATATCTAACCTGCAAGATATTTAAAGATAGTTATTATATTTTCCCATTTTATGACCATTTAATAACTATTTAGATACAGCTATTATCCATGTAAACTTCATTTCATAACGATGAAAATATAATAACTTGCTTCTTTTACTTTATTCATTATTTTTCACAGCAAGTCGTGTCAGACGATTTCTTAATGCTCAACATGGGGATAGAAAAATTCGTTCCAGCAGTCAACAACCAACTAGTTTTGAATCACGAACATATAATTCTTCTTCTTGGCGTGATGAAAATAAAACACTGACGCGTCTCACTGAACGTCATACTTCAGAAGTACGTGAAATTAGTGATTCACGTGAAAAATGGTCGATTAATGAAACTAGAGGGTTACGTGATTTAATGGAGCATAGAACTTCAAATGGTGAAATACAACCTATTCGAGTTGTTGCACCTAAACTGCTCAAAGAGTTGAATCCTACAACAAAAGTCAAATTGGGAGATAGTTTCAAGCTTGAAACACGTTTTGAACCGATGAAATCTCCTACTAAAGTCCAATGGATTCATAACAATAAGGTAAGTAGAAGATTTAAAGCTAATTATCTTCTTGATTGCACCGAAACGTCTGGCCTCTGTAGACATGTTGACTCAACATTTCGATGCTATCAGTTGACAGTAAAATGAAAATTGAATAAGAAATAACTAACAACTGACACCTATTGTACAAGAGGTGTCTATCGGGCCCCAAAGGGTCTAGTGGTTCGGCGTTTGAAATGAAGGGCAGTGGGTTCTGACCTTGGTGGGAACACCATCGCTCACTGGGGAGTACAGGTGCATCAGGTTGACGAGCAGCATCCTGGATTCCACTGTACTCTCTTCATTTTCAGAAAATATGGTATAAAAAATATATGAAAGGCCTAATTTTATGCCATTCGCTTAGTATGAACCTATAAGGCGCCTGATGAAAAAGTTCATTCTGTACTCAAAGTTTTCATGTCACTATTCCCTACTTATCTCAGTAGGAAACTCCCGATACACAGTATGTGACTAACATGTTATACACTAAACAACTTTTCCTCTAACGTAGTGAATTTTCCTTTCATCACAGATTTCTGAAGTTGTTATTTTTTAATGTGTAACGTCAGGAAAGCATCTCTAGGTGAGTCATTAAGATATGAAGAACTTTCTAAAGTCACTAAAAAAGAAACCCCGGGGATTTTTGTATCACTGAATTCACTTTACAACAGACCTGCTAATGAAATTATCAACGCAAACTATGTAAAACCCAATTAGGCATTTTTATCATCCGATATACGAACATCGCCTCTCATGATAAAGTAAGCTAAGGCAAGCAAAGTCGATTGATATTTATATTTTAACACACCATGTCGATACTCATCACAGAATCAATATCAAAAAAGTGTTTAGAAGTTGTCTGTCATATTCACAACAATCTTAATTTTGCCTTACAAGTTGTTCATCTTATGAATGCAGCAGAAGCTACTGGAGTACACCTGGAGAAGGTGAACGCACATGTTCAGGAGAAATTCTTGTAGCCACTTTTTTTCTTCTCTGTATGAATGAAAAAAACAACAGTTTTCCCTCACCCTATGTCATCTATTTTATTATTCTGACTACTGCATCTTCAATTGTTCTTATATACTGGGTCATGATGAAAATAAGAAATAATCCAACGAAGAAAAATACCTTTATTGACGAAGCTTGATAATCTGAGTAGATATGATTGCAACGTAGATATTTTCACTAAGGCTTAGGATATACTTTCATATCTATACAGCTGTTCAGAAAACTGATTCCCATGCTGTCTGTAGCAAGCTTGACTGAAAACTTGAGAAATGTATCAAACTCTTTTACTATCACAAGGTTTTTGCTCTCAACGAAGGACTTCATCGATAAATAAGATTTTTTCAGCTGCATTATCTTTCACATTCTTACGTAATCGGCTTTAATAATTTGAATTTTTATATTGGCTAATGATCGTTATCAAACTAGTAATCCTAAGGGTGTCAAATAACACATTGTTCTAATAATGCCATATATACAAATGTATATGTGAGTGGAGCCATTGACAAGGGTCAAATCACAACGTAAATATTTCTTCACTCAAATTTTTATCTTCCAAATTTACCAAAAAGACCTCTCAGTAACTTTCTGATAATTAATAATTATTATTTCCTTCACGTTCCCAGTGGAACATAGGGCTTCAAGCTAGTGGCTCGAAGTTTCTGTAGCAGTGTTTATTTTTACAGGATGGGGTTGCTAGCCTCATGCCCAACCCTTCCGCTTTACCAGTCTCACTTCTGGCTCAGCGAGGCAAAGGAGTTCGTCGACTGGGGATCGAATCCCGGACCATGTGAATGACTGGCGAGCGTCCTAACCACTGTGCCACCGACGCACAGTAACTTTCTGAAATTACATATTATTTGTCGGATCTAAGTTTACTCGTAAATACAGGGCACATGAGAAGCATAGTTACTGGACATAGCGTGATAATACAAAGCGTGATTATCAGGTGATGTTAATTGTTATATGATTATATATTCTGAGCTAACATACTGTACATCAAGTATCTTACAGATGTCCGAATATTCAAAATATTATAAATTCCTGCTTTACATTTTATAGGAAATTAATTCCAATGATTTTATGAAGATTACAACATCTGAAGATGGCGGATATAGTTATCTAGAAGTGTTCCAGTCTCGTGAAGAAGATGCAGGGGATTATGAGGCTAGAATTGGAACAACTGTTACTCGTACATGTGTAAAAACTGAAGGTATATATTTTATCCAATGTATTGGCTCCTGTCTTAACACTATAATAATAATTATTTATTTATTTTCAAAAAAATGGATGCTCAACAAAGAGTACTCTTTTCGATAAATTTATCATCAGGCTCTACAGTTATATATACACTACAGTGAATATATGAATGAGTGTTATGAACAACATCTTCGCTCTATACTGAAGATCAGATGGCCGGAAAGAATCACCAACAAGAAACTATGGCTGGAAAGAAACAAAACAAGAACCAATCGCCAACCAACAAATATGCAGGAGAAAGTGGAGATGGATTGGACACACACACTCGCTGAGGAGGCCGCCGCTGGGTGACATCGCGTGCGCGTCAGGCCATTTCTCGAGTGGAACCAGGCCGAAAAAGAAGCGTCCAGTGGGACGTCAGTGCAAGGGTGACATGGAGGAGATGATGTGAAGGGGAGTTGAAACAGTATGGACTAACTGATATGGATGCAAGTGAAAAGTACAGCAGAAGGAAGACAGAAGCAAGTGGAGACGTAGAGTTGAATCCCTATGTTCCACTAGGAACCCAAGGGGGCAATAATAATAGTAATATAATAATAAATAACATCGAATCAATAATAACATTAATAGATTACAGTTCAATAGCATCAACATAACAATAAATTGAATGTCAGAGAAATTAGGAAAGATAATATTACAAATTCATGAATTGATAGTCTCTACTGAAGATAGTTTAACATCCCTAAAAACTTTCTGTAATAATAATTAAAATGAATCATACAATTCATTTTTTGTCATATACTACTGAATAACTAGAGTAGTAGCGAGACTTTGATCAGCAGTTTACAGATTTTCATTGGTAAACTGATAGGTGATACTGTTTGTTATAAAGCGTCTTTTTCGCTTATTTAATTAATATAAAGAAGGAATTTTGTACACTTAACTGACAAGTTGAATTTTAAACCACTTTGTTCTGTTTGATGAAACATTTAGATTAGCAATAAGTGGTTTCAAGTTTTTTTTTTCTAGACTTCGTTATTTTGTGATACATTGTTCAACAGATCATAGTTTATATTCCAAAGATGAACTGGAACATCTTCATAGTTTTTGATAAGTTATAAGTAGTGTAGAATGAAACGTTGGAATAAAACAACAAAAAATAATTCCACAATGATCTCATTGTCATTATTATTATCACTTCTACTACCCAGTTTGAAACTGGTGTTTGTATATTATTTGTTGAAATTCTTGCTTTTTGTATCCTTTAGTGACTGATCTTATGAGATTAAAATCGTTGGTCCTTTGTAACGTGTCAGCCTGTATTAACGGACATTTCAACGAGGTCTTAAGTTTCACATGACGTTATTTTGTTGATGATGGCTAGCATAAGGGAATGCAGGAGACACGTTTCGTCGCGTTTTAGACTTTACAGATGGATTTACCTTCATTCCAGTGAATTGTGTTATCCTCAGTGAGATGCATTCATATGAGGAGAGTCAGACAGGACGAAACATGTGGCCTGGATTCCACTGCTGTTCAACATCAGCCAAATTACATTATATTTATGCAGTCAACAGCTCTGTGACCCGGTGAATAAAAACTTCTCAAACTACTCAAATTTTAATATCTGAACTAATTTTTACAAACTGTGGGACATAATTTACTTCTGATAGCCAATGTTCAACACATGATCTAGAATCCCTCAGTTGACATCGTTTTGTCTTGGTAAAGAATCGTGTTATATTTACTATAGGATTTTTTTTATTTCATTTGTAGCATTGTGCTCAGTTTTGTGATCTAATACACTTGTTTAGCTTACATGCCAGGCTGTCACACCATGCATAGTGAAGAATGATACAAATAGTGAGGAACCACACACACATACACACGCACATAGAGAGGCACACTTGCATACACCAACTAGTTATGATTTCTAACCATATCGAAGCGAAAGATGCTTTGTCAATAGTCAACTCGGAAATCTAAATTAATGTGAACTTCAGCTTTGTTTGTACTAGACACCTGTTGGACGGAATTTCTTCAAGATAATGGAACTCTTTTAACGTTAGAAGTGAACATTATTATCTTTGATTAAGTTTTAAGCGAAGAACTGTTTTCATCAAACCGATGAGAAATTGTGTACATACATTGACTGATCGATACTGATGCATTTGTATTAAAAGAAAATATTATGTAAAACTTATATCTGTTTACCACTCAAGTGATTTTCATTACTCTTGATCGAAACGTATGTTTCCCATTTCTTACTATGTACATATAGCTCCGATTAATTCTCTAAATGGGATGATAGATGAAGTTGACGATGAAGTATCCAATGACTATTCTAATCAAGTCATTGATAATAAAGTAATAAGTGGAAATGGTGATGTAATGAAATCTAAAGTTGTTGGAATTCCACCATCCTTTAGAATTCATCCGATTAGTCAAACTGTTAAAGATGGTGATACAATCTGTTTAGAATGTACTGTAGCCGGAGATCCAATCCCTGAAGCTGAATGGTATTATAATGATGGTCCAATTCAAGCTGGGCATATATTTTCTCAGGATAATGAAGTGATTAAACTTGAATTGCAAGCATTATTACCAGAAGATACTGGAACATATGAATGTCGGGCGACTAGTTCATTGGGTAAAGCATCTACTGCCGCCTATCTGGTTGTTGAAGGTTAGTTAATCTTTGAAGTTATAATTTTCTCTGGAGACAATACGTTTATATGAACCGATTTGTTAATGGGGTTCTCAGATGAACTTGTACAAAATTAAAATTCCATTATAAATAAAAAAATAATTATTATTCATTAAGAGCATCGGTGGTTCTCTGGTAAAACACTCACCAACCACGCACATGGCTGAAGGTTCGACTCCAGGTTGACGCGCTGTTAAACCTTGTTAAGCCGATAGTAAGAACGGTAAAGGAGGAAAGTTAAGTGAGACTGGCAACCCTATCCCTTAAAAACAACAACACTGTTACTATTACTTCCAAGCTCAAGGATGAACCGCTAAGTTCCACTCGAAATGCAAAAGGATAAGAATATAGAAAACTAAGTATTGGCATTCACTCTTCTTAAGGAGTAAGTGTGGAGATGGTTTTACAAGTGAAACTAAATCCTTGTGTAACAGAAGCATACTTCGTGCAGGTACCTTTCAGTAGTGGGTTTCTCTCAAGAATTTTGATAAGTAAGAATGTATGTTACTATCCCGACACATATTGTGTATTATGTGCTTAATCAATCTCTAGAATGTTATTCACAGTGCGTCGTTTTCAAAGTTCCAGTCTTATCTTAAGCTATTTATTTGTTACAAACTTTTAAAATCTCTTATTAATGCTTTTTCAGCTGCAGAAGAAGAGTCAAAAGGCCCCAAATTTGTTACCTTCCCACAATCACGGAATGCTGAAGAGAATGAATCCGTCACTTTGAAATGTTCGTTTGGCAGATCACCCGTCAGTGAAGGTGAGTCAAAGTTTAAAAATCGTGTAAATGGAATGTAAAAAAACCTATTTGATGTCACTGTCGCCTTAAAATTAATTTCTTTTTCCATTTCCATTCTTCATGAAATAAGAGATGCTTAAAATGGCTTTGATTAACATTAATCATAAAAACATTGAATAGGGTATTCGTCACAGCATGGAACTGCACAGTGGTGTCCCACATGACTGCATTTAGGTGAAATCAAACTTACAACGTTTTTGGCTTTAAAGTGACTTTGATACTACATGGCTGATGGATTATTTCTAAAGAAATCTTCGATTTAGAGAATGCTGATCTACTTTCTTAAGTATACTTCGTTGTCTCTAATAAAGTCGGAGTGTAACAACAGAAGACAAGGACAAGGCGACAGATCGTTTATTAAGGAAATCAACACGTATTTATACATATTTCACATACATTATTATAGCTTATTCAAGCAAACAAACACACTCTTCTGATTGGTGGCTGCTTCTCACAGAAAGTTGACCTTGCATCTCTTTGTGACTGTTTCTTGAATGTCAGGTCATCTATATGTTAACTGTATCTGCCTACGCCAAGTCTGCTCTGATTGGTTGTTGAATCAGTTTTGTTCATATTTTCTCACGACTAATATTTGCGACACGAGCATTGACGTAAATAATTGTCTACCAATTCGGCTAGCAGTCTGCTCTCACCACAGGAGTAATCTCACAATCATTTTGATTTTCGTCATCATTCAGTGTGTTTTCCCTTTAGTACTACATTGGTTTATCAACATTAAGATTAGTGGAAATCAAAGCTTTTTGGAAGATGTTAATTGGGAAAATCTTATCTCTTTCGAAACTCTCTGATAAGAATCATCTATGGAAATCGAATCACTATACATATCTATAGAATCTCAGACTCAGGGTTATTAAGAAAGTATAATGTGTTGTTTCTTGGAACAATGGAATCATTATAAATACTGGCTATGATAAGAAATACTTATTGTGAACGCTAAATATCTGTTGTACTTTAATGTAGAGTGACACCAGTAATGGACTGATGGTGCTGGGATTTCAACGCAAGGACTATAGGGTAAAGTACAGCCTAAAGTACTTCGTTATCATTAACTATAACGGTAGATATGTACTCTGAAAGCACTGAACGTCGCAAAGAAACTGCAGTCCACTGACTTCTAGTTCTCACTCGTTTTTTACTTATCGCCAATACATGACCAGACCAACTGACTGTTTACGTTTTATCATTACTTCAAGAGTTTCTACTAATCAGTAGTTAATATATCATAATTTAGGTATTTTGAAGGATTTATTATTGTGAGCGATTAAGGTAAGTTGTACTCATTAACTACTCGAATCTAACACTTATTGTATAAGCAAAACTGGGCGAAGTTTCAAGTCTCCTAAATCATTACATACTAACAGATCTTGACATAGTATGATAACAACTCATAATAGTGATTCTTGTGGTTTTGAATTTCACTGACAGTTCATCACTACTCAAAATTAAATTCGAACTCTACAGACAAAGACAAAACTTAGCGTAGAAGACTGTACATACACCACACTGTTCTTTATGTACTTTGATATGTTAAAATGAAAATTTCTAAACTTTATTAGTCAACAAGTAAAACTCTATTGTATATTTTATTTTTCTTACAGTATCTTGGTTTCGTAACAATACTCCGTTGGATTCTCAACATATTGATTTTGATATATCTGCTCAAACAAGTGTATGCAAACTTCAGTCAGTGAAAACATCAAAAGATTCAGGAATTTACTCAGTTGAAATTAAAGATACTGATGGTAACTCTTCAGTATGTAAATTTTATCTACAAATTTTACCCTCGATCTTGGCAAATGAAAATAATTCAGTTGAAGTTGTTTAAATTTTATACTGCATTATTTTGTACAGGAAATTAGCTTATCCTACAAACACAGAGAGAGAATGAGAGAGAGAGAGAGAAAGTGAAACACCCTGTCACCACCACCACCACCACCGTCATCTTTGATACCAACACATCATTGTTATTCTTGTTGCTGTTGTTCTTGTTCCTTATGGATCAACAGTTTTTAATTATAAATAGAAGTGCACATATACCCATATATACACACACACAACCACACTTTAATCAAAATGATTCCCAAATTGCTGAACTCTGTCTGCTTCATGAAATCAGAAACCTGCTCACTAAACCCTTTAATTACCTATATTTAATGTTGTTGTTGTGTTTGTCGACATGACAAAATTTCAACAATTCTCCAGTAGATATAAATTATAAACAATAATTCTAATGCTGCACATATATGATAATTACAGAAAATAGAACATCAGAATGGAACTATGAAATCAGAGGAAAGAAAAGACCAGTCTCATAGGATAAATTATAGAAACACAAGAATATGGAACTTCCAAGTCTCTGTGTGCCAGTGTGTGTGTGTGTGTTAGAGTGTGTATGACCTATACAAAAAGTTGTTATCACTTTTCATCTTTCCTCGCTTTTCTGTCTTTTGTTTCTTCTCTACAATCAAGATGCACTGTTGGATTGCGTAATCCAATGAACACTTATCATTACTATTTATCACAATTGATGATTTTATTGATGAAGACAACTGTTTCTTCACTTCAAGTATTTTCAAGTATATTTCGGTGTTGTCGTTTTGCGTTTCTTGATAATATATTTCTTTCAGGCTTCGTAATTTCTCATGCTTGCTTTGCCTAATTTAACAAAGTGCTAAAATTTATTACTACTTATCAACAGTACATAGACATTTTTGTGTCCTATCTCCCCCTTCGTCTTCTCCTCCTCTCTATTGACTCTCATTCCTATGAATGTAGACTACTCACTACTAATTTCCTAACCTTTTTTTCCGACTTTTCCTATGTTTTAATCTATTACTAAATAAGTGAGTTGAGTATAGTTGTTATTGCTTTATTACGAAATATATATATATACATACATATAAATCAATCACTTCCTGATGAGTTATTCTTTTCATTTTATGCGAAAATCATTCGAATATGATGAAGGTAGATACTTTTTTTAAAGAGGTATGCTTGTGTGAGTGTATGTTTCCAGGAAAAACTACTCACACATAATGACTGTTTATATTAGTCCGTTTATTTTGTTGAAGTTCCCCTCCTTTATATCTTCTTCTCTCTGTCTGTGTATGTCTCTTGCCCATAGTTTGTCGATTTTATGTTTAACTTTATGACTGCTATTATCATGATTGCTAAAACTATCCTTATCATTATGATTATTATGACTAAGCAAAAAATAATCGAAGATATGTGAAATATGTCGAAATCGTCTCATTGTCGTAACAGCAGGCTGTTAACGGTTTGGTTTTTTTTGTTGTTTTGGTTCGGCTGACTGAAATCATTCGTTATCGTTGACAGCGGTGTTCTTGTCGTTATTGTTGAGATAGAAGAAGAATTAGAACAAGAAGAGGAAACCTAGTTTATTTGACTTACAAAACTGTTTTTACTCCGTTATCCTTCCTGTGACCAATCTACTGAAACAGATATATATATTCTTCTTTATTGCTTTAGATTTAAAACTTCAAAATTTGTTATTTACACTTGATATTTATTTCAGAACAAATCACTCAACTTAATCTGCTTTACTCTACAAAACTTGTGTAACACCATTTGACTGTCCTCATTCTTCTTCTCCTCCTCCTCTTCGACACGTTATACATGATACCAATGAAAAGGATAAACTCGTTGCCACCCCCCGTCCATCTCTCTCTCTCTCTTTCATCAAGTTCTTTATTTCCTCTTACGATCCTCAATAGATGATGCTATTTTTGGTCGGTAGAAAACAGTAAAACAAATTCAAGGCATTCACTACCAATAATATCCTTTTTCTCTTCGTCCTACTACCGTTATTGATGTTATTACTCTACTGACTAGTTGGTTATATCTATTCTTGCCAGCGGTGGACTCACGTCCCCCCCGTACTTCTTTATCTATTCTCACTTTTATTCTGCTTCTGTTCTTTCCCCCTTCTTCAATTTGTTAAAGAAAAATCCCCCCCCTGACCTTTAAAAAAACACCATTATAATTCTCATTTGATTGATTGATTGTTTGTCTCTTTTGTTGCTTACTATTATGATTACAAAAAAATGTGTCTTATTCAGAAAACAATCACTCACTCAATCAATCAAACCAACCAACCAACCAACAAACAAACACAAATAATTACACTACGAACAAAGAGTCTACCAAATGAAAGTTTGAAATTATCTGTATTTTTCTTTCCATTGTATTCTGGGAGATCGATACTCAACTAATGAATTAAATTTCATGGGTATTTTCAACTGAAAAGTTACTGAACATTAAAGGATCCTGTCACAGATTTACAATTGTGATTCGGTTAATATCTTAGCGATCCACAGTCACACTTAATTGCAGAAATCTACGATGAAACAGTTGTCTAATGGTTTAGATAAAGCAATAAGAAGACGTGATTTGTCTGAATCGTGTAATGTATTTGCGGAACACATTTCGAACAATATGATCACACACGGACTTGTTATAGAAATATATATGAAATTGATAAAGAGGTAAGAGGTGAGAAAATAGACTTAGGTCAAGTTAAAAGGACATATTCAAGGTCAAAATAACAATAAAGACCACTAAACCAAATAGCAGAGGTAATAGTACACCTACCCTGGCTGGTATCAAAACAAAGTTTATGAAGGAAGTTGGTTTAGTGTGATGACGAATTGTTTTTGAACGCATAAAGGTGGTTTAAACTCCCTAATTACCAGCTAGGGCTTCCACGAACTTTAGGATATGCCCCAAACATGTTTAATAGATAGGTTTAAAAGACACGTAAACGTCAGTTTTATGTCCTGTCTCTATAATATGTTTCGCAATAGAGGAGCTAGGTCTCTTGTTCTCACCGTTAATAGGTTCTGAAGAATCCATTTATTTCTGAAGCCATTTAGGAATATGCTCTGAAGCCAGTCCCTACTTGCAGAGATCGATGAGTCCTTCCTATGTATGTGTGTTCACACGTACATTCAAATTGGTAAATACAGCGGGATGTGACGTCATTTTTCGCATGTTCGAAGGGCTTAGATAGAAATGATGGCTTTACATTCTCTATTATTATGATATTAGCTGCATAAAAAGTATTTTTAACAGCAGCGTTTAGTCTTTGTCTAATGCTTCTCAACCTATAATGATTTATCAGGGAACTTTAGTCTTTTGTGGAAAATTCATAGAAAACAACCGGATTATTGCAGAAATTACGAATAGTGAATACTTATTCAATGCACTGTGTGAAGTAAGCATCATTTGGTAGGTTACTACTAATAGTAGTAAAAGAAAAGATGACTTCGTGTAGCCCACCCAGAGGTTTATTTCCAACATATTTATCATCTCCCTATTAAGCTAACTGTTTAAAAATAAGAATGGGATAAAGGTCCAGGCGAAACAACTGATTTTCATGAAATGACAACTAATCGATAACACAAGTTATATCATCATTTTTGGTTAGTGATTACATTCCACGCAGCAGGTCAGGTGTGAGGATAAATACTCGCCGAAGACAGTGGCTAGTGGTCGCGCTATGTCGTGAATTGACAGAAGTTAGAATTCACGGGCTATTGGATCGGGTCCCAGTGGCTTAGTGGTATACGAGCCCGCCCTGTAACCAGAAGGTCCTGGGTTCGAACCATGGTGGTGTGTGCGTACTGATGAAGAGTCCCAAACTAGGATGAAACGGCTGTCCAGTACTCCCTGGATGGTTTTCCAATGGTTCTCTAACTAATGTCAGCTCATGATAAAATCCTGTAATCGATCAAATCCCTACAAACCAATCCTTAAATATAGGATAAACTGTGTGTAGTGATTTACTTTGCAGTGAGTTTGATCACGGAATAATGTCAATTAAAGGACTATTGAAAACTAAGGAGTATTGGAAAGTCGTCTCTTCCTAGTTTGGATTTCTTCAGCAGCACCCATTCACTGGAGTTTAAACTCAAGTTCTTCCGATTATAAGGAAAACTCGTAGACCATTCAGGCACTGTGACCTGATCCAATGGCCAGTTCATGAATTTCAACTTCTAAAAATTCTTCAATTTAGCACGAACACTAGATGTTGTCATCAAGGAGTATTTGTTCTCCTACCCCCATCTGATGAACCCCGCTGGAGACGTTTTCTCACTAGAAGTTCAGACAACTTCGTCGTCTAGGCAATTACTAATGAGCACCAGATTAATTTTAACGAGTTAGTCTGTAGGCATCTGATTTACTTCAAGTTCGGATATGAGTTGATATCAGAAAAAACTGTATCAGATTTTAAATAACACTAAGTGATCCCATACTGTTATAGATTTATAGCCATTAATCATTATCAGTCTGAGTACAGGTTGTAAAACATGCAGCTGACAGTGGTGATGCTTGGACATTGCTAAATTTTCTCCGAACTTCGATGTCTGATTGCGATCACTTTAACATTATGTATGGTGAAATCTCCAGCACCAACTTCACTAAGAAGTTAGATGTATTTCCACATTGTATCAATATTGAAGTTTCCTTTTTGGTTGACTTATCTATTAGTTAGTTAGCAGATCAATAATGAAGTGCAACAACAAATAACAAACGATTCCCAACGCATGATGCGAACAAACTCGAGGTTAAAAGATTACGAAATAAAAATTATCTCTTCCCCTCATTCACCACTGGACAACGAGAAGAAAAACGAAATATAAATATCCACTAAACTTGAAAATACATTGTACCTAAGTTAATGCTGTAAATATTACCCAACCTGGTGACGGAATATCTATGGAAAAATTCCAAGGATCGAAGAAAGTCAGCACAATATCCATTTTCATTATGAGCTGTAAATCTTCTTCAAAATGTTTTTTATTAAAAGTTTGACTTTACGAAAAGTTAGAAAGCAGCAGAACCTGACGGAATCCCCTCAAAAATACTAAAAACGACCTCAGTGAACGTACTTATACGAGTACTGTAGAATATGTGGGAAGAAGGAAGGCTATCTACTTATTGAAAGAAAGGCTACCATGTCAAACTGTCAAACAAAGATGGTTTAAACCTTTGCAGGAACAGGTACGAAGTCATGCTTCAAGCAAAGTAAATCATGCAAGGACAATACCCGTCATCATCAACAGGGCATACAATCGCAGTCAATTCTCTATCTCAGCTTCATCAACTTCTTAAAAGCCTTTGATAGCGTCAGCCGTGAATCACTTCGAGAATTGCTTCAAAATTATGGAGCTGTATTATGTTGCCACAGTGGAAAGCTTGGTGAACCCTCTGAAGTGAGAACAGGAGTAAGATGGGGCTGCCTACTATAGCCGGTGATACTATCGATTTTGGTGGACTGGATCATGCAGCAGACAGTGGGGGGGGGAGGGGAAGAAGACAGACGCAAATTAGGCGGATAAAAAATACACACCAGAATACCTTAATTTCACCCAAGACTTATATCTGATATCGCATAAACTCGAAAAGCTACTGATGAAAACTATAAAGTTGGTTGAAGTGGCAGCAAAGACAGCGCATTCAGGCGAACATCGCGCTTTACTGTAGGCATTGTCATTATCATTATTTTGGTATGAAAAGTAATCTAGATTACTATAGTACGTAGACAACAGTTTATTCTGTCAGCATTGTCATAAGCAAGAGTGATAAATCATAGGTATGTATATCTTCTCTAAAGAATATGACATCGAATTTCTGAGATTTAAGTCAATTATTTAGGATATAAAAGAAAGGTAGGATGAAGTATTAACCTTCCTACAATACCAGTCAATACATTCAGTTATTGTATTTTATACTCTCAGGTTTATTCTAGAGCCTTTAAATGACTTAAACAGCACTGGTGTTGTAGATGATATCACTTCATGTTGAAGGCTAGTCTGAAATTAAGAAATCAGTTTTAGTGTATACAGGTCACCCACAGTTTTGAGTCGATTGTACTTCATAACGTTAAGCTAAGATAAAAATTCACTACTGTAGATAGGAATATCACCCACAAAATGAAGAGATTCAGGATATATATATAATTTTTAGAGAATTATTAGACTTAAAAAGAATGGTTACTGAACAAAGAATATTTTCTTTTCGATAACCTGATCTTCATCAGGTTCTACAGTTATACATACATAACAGTGAATGAATTAGTGTTAATAACAACATTAATGTTATTTAAATGACATCGAATCAACAACAACAATAATAATAATGATATCAATAGATTACAGTTCGATAGCATCAACACAAAAAAATACACTGAATGAATATCTTGAATTTATAGTCTCCATTGTACATTGGCCAGGGCGGTAGTAGTGTGGTGAGAGCTGGCTGTTAGCCAAAATTGGTGGATAGTAATTTACGAGGCTTCCTGCCGATTGCCTCCAACCATCTAATTTACGTCAGTGTTTATGTCCCCAATGTTGGTCGTGAGAAAAATGAGAAGAAAGGCTTTGCGTGGGTAGATACAGTTAACATATAGATGATCTGACATTCAAGAAACAGTCACAAAGAGATGCAAGGTTAACTTTCTGTGAGAAACAACCAGCCAGAAGACTATGTTTTTCTGCTAACAATAATCTATAATATGTACATGAAAATCTATAAATATGTGTTGATTTCCTTAATAAACGGTCTGTTGCCTAGACCTTGTCTTCTGTTGTTACAGTAGTAGCTGGAATTACTTCTTTTGCACACAAAGCACCGATTGTTTCAATAGAATCGAAATAGCGTCAGCTGTTTGGAGAATGAGATATCTGAATGTTTCTGGCAATTTAATTAGTACCCGGTATATGATAGAGAGGGATTCTTCAATGCTGGCTTTGTGGCCAGTTTGAACCACGTGGTTCAGTATCGAACAGTTGACGGTTTTTCCTACGACTTTGTTTAGCCCCACTGGTAGATGTTTCCGGACACGAGAAATCAAGTTCCTAGAGCAATGGTCAATATAAATGATTTCACAAGCGCAGCTGAATTGGTAGGTACAATTGGAAGTGGCTAGTCTAGGTACTTCAGCTTTCAATCGAGGAATCACCATCGGCCGTGTAAAAAATAAGACTTGTAGTTTGCCAGCACTGAAAGTTCTTTGAATTAATTTTCTTAATTTCTTCGTAATTATTTCGCTAGATATATCACCCGTGAATTGCAGTAGTATGAATAAAGTTTTCTTGTTTACAGATAGTGAATAGTCCTTTTCAACTTTCTTAGTCATATGTTTCCAGAGGAAATAATCTAGACAGCTAATTTCAATCAAGGTATCATATGTTATCCTTAGTTCATCTTTAGTTACCTCTTCTGAGGAAATGGCTATAACCCTGTGGCTGACGGTCCTTACTAAATTCCTTTTTCATTGGAGAGGAACG